ATATTAATAATTTATAAAAAATTCAATTATTTAATTAATAATTAAAGATATATTAATAATTTATAAAAAATTCAATTTACCCATTATTTAATTGATTTGTACAGATTATTTTAACATTTTTACATATTATAGCGTAGGCTTGTAACAAAGTTAAAGTTTTTCCAAATTCGCGTTTTACATTCTTTTTAAAATCTCGATATCGAACTGGAACTGATTCAAATAGATTTTGTAATATTATTGTTGTGCCTCGCTTAATTTAAAAATTTTAAAGAAATATGAATAACACATATTAAAATAATATTAAGATGATGATGATAATAATAATAATAACATTACCTCACGTGCGACCGAAGTTGTTTTTATAAGTTCACCATTAAAATTATATTCTAACTTATTTCCAGTTGGAACTTCTTCTTGAGTGCTTGTTATGACTGTAACTTTTGACAAGGCACAAAGAGAACTGAGGGCTTCCCCTCTGAATCCAAAACAATCGATTTTAATCAAATCCTCAAAATTAGTAAGCTTGGACGTATAGTGTTTAAGTGCTACAAGTAAATTTTGAAATAAAATATTGATATTGATATACACATTTTTTCAACGAAAGTTCAAAAGATAAAGACCAACCAAGTTTTTCATAATTAGATTTATTTATTCCTGTGCCGTCATCAATTACTTCAATCGAATGTAAACCGTATTCTTTAAACTTTACTTCTATTTAAGTGGCAAATAATATTAGTCAAGTAAGTCAAGTTAAAATCAACAAAAAAAAACGAAAAACAAAAGTTTTCATACCGATTGACGTGGATTGCGCGTCAAGACTGTTTTCCACAAGTTCTTTTACAGCAGTTGCTAAGTCCAAAATAACTTGACCAGAACATATTTTATGTACTGAAGACGCGTCTATAGGTTTTACTATCGACATTGGCACGAAAAAAAATAGAGGTAAATCAGAAAAAAAAATATTTATGGTAATGATATCAGTCATTTGACTTTGAAATTTACTTAATGCACCAAAGGTGATTTGTTATTTCTTTTTAGAATATGAAAATTTATTTATTTATTCACAAAATTATAATTATTATTATTCTTGTCATAAAATATCAAATTATGCTTCAATCGCCTTTATTTCATTATTGGATTCTTCTATTTTAATTATATCAATTGATTCATCTACTTTTCCTCCTATATTTAAATAGATTTTATATATTTAATAAATTTAATAAAACTTATTGTGCATAAAAAAAAAATGTATATTTTATATTATATTTTATATACCGTGAAATTCAATTTGTTTCTTTAAATGTAATAATTGATCTTGATTATATTCGATTGCTGCCTTTTGACATTGTTTTATTGTTCCTTTAATAATAATAATAACAATAATAATAATAATAATAATAATAATATCATCATTATTATTATATATTATTTTTACTATATCATTATTTTTAATTTATTATATTATTATTTTTTTATTATTTATAATATAAATTACCTCCTAAATGTAATACACGAAAAAGACAAAATCTAGATTGTATTTGTGTGATAAAAGTTAATGCACTCCAAACTAAATTATAATGTTCTCGAGATACCCTTATTATACCAATATTTGTATATGGCGAAAAATATTTAACTGACATTAAATATGAATAATAATTAAAAATATGTTGGATTTTATTGATGAATATTTTATAAAGTATTAAAATTAATTTTACCACTAAGCGAAGCTGCAATACAACCGGAACCATAATCCCCAAAATTTTGTTGAACTGAATCTTTTATAGCTGAATTAATATCACGAGATGTCAATTCTTCATATTTTCTATTTTGTATGGTGTCTTCATATATTATTTCAAATAAAAGCCATCGGTTCTTTAAGCGAACCATGTTTGTCAATATTGTAATGATGTCAATGAAATGTAAATAAATATTTTTGTTCTCATGTTGCACCAAAAATCTACCAAATTTTAATCAAAATCTCATCTTATTCATCTGGATATTATTACTCATCTCATCGCAAAAGATTAAATCAATCCGATTAGATCAAACGACAATTCAACAAATTATATATATATATAGTTTTAATTATTCGTTTCTTCAAAAATCAAAAAAAAAATCATTTATTTTTCCTATCCTTAGAATTAATTTAATTTTCAAAAAAAAAAAAAATGGCATCTGCTAAATTATGGGGTGGTCGGTTCACTGGTGCAACTGATCCTTTGATGGATTCATTTAATGCTTCTATCCATTTTGATAAACGCTTATTTGAAGCTGATATTAATGGTTCACAAGCATATGCTAAAGCATTGGCTAGAATAGGCATAATTACTTCCCAAGAACAAGATTCACTTGTCAATGGTCTCGATACAGTTCTCAATGAATGGCGAACTAATACTTTTGTCATACAACCGGGTGATGAAGATATTCACACCGCAAATGAACGACGTTTAGGTGAATTGGTCGGAAATGTTGCCGGTAAATTACATACTGGACGCAGCAGAAATGATCAGGTTGCAACGGATTTTAGAATTTGGGCAAGAGATGAATCAAAAAAATTATTGATTTACGTGAAACAATTGATCAACGCTACTATTCAAAGAGCTGAAAAGGAAATCGATGTAATAATGCCAGGATATACTCACTTACAGAGAGCTCAACCTATTCGGTGGAGTCATTGGCTTCTAAGTTATGCATGGAGTTGGCAAGCAGATGCTCAACGTCTTGAAGAAATTATTGATCGAATCAATGTTCTTCCTTTGGGAAGCGGTGCATTAGCCGGAAATCCCTTCAAAATTGATAGAGAACTCCTGGCTAAAGAATTGGGATTCAAAAATGTAATACAAAATAGTTTACATGGTGTCTGTGATCGTGATTTCGTTGCAGAATTATTATTTTGGGCTTCCTTAACGATGATCCATATCAGTCGATTTTCGGAGGATTTGATAATCTATAGTTCAGGAGAATTTGGTTTTGTCACTCTCTCAGATGCATACAGGTATTTTTTTTTTGATTTATTTTATTTTAACAATTTCTTTATATTTTAAGAGTTATTTTCATTTTCATTTAATTTTCATTTCATTTTCGTCATTTTAGCACTGGAAGTAGCCTTATGCCACAGAAGAAAAATCCAGATAGTTGTGAATTACTACGTGGAAAATCTGGACGTGTTTTTGGTCAGGTAATGTATTTTCGTAAAAAAAAAAAAAAAAGAGCATTTAGCAAAAATTTTATTTTTACTAATTTCTTTTCGATATAAAAAAGATGTCAGGATTTCTTATGACTTATAAAGGTATTCCGAGCACTTACAACAAGGACCTTCAAGAAGATAAAGAGCCACTTTTTGATGCTGTAGATACCTTGGCTGGTTCGTTACAAATTACCACTGGAGTTTTATCGACTCTCACTGTAAGCAATGACTATATTACTATATTGTAGTGATCGCTCAACAAATATCATTAAAAAGGATAACATATATATATTTTTTCAAATTAGATTCATCCTGAAAATATGAAGAAAAGTTTAAGTATTGATATGTTGGCCACAGATGTTGCTGAATACTTAGTACGAAAAGGAGTAAGTTGTATTCCTATATTTATTATTTATTAATACTTCAAAAGAATCCCACGATCATTAAATCATTAATTATTATTCTTGTTTAATTAGGTTCCATTCCGTGAAACTCATCATATTGCAGGTGCAGCAGTTCGCAAAGCTGAAGAACATGGATGTACTATGGATAAGCTAGAGTTATCTGATTTCCAACAACTTCACCCTGCTTTTAGTCAAGATATCACAGAAATATGGAATTTCGAGAAAAGTATTGAAAATAGATCTAGTTTGGGTGGAACAAGTAGAGCTACAGTTTTAGAACAAGTTCATAAGTTGAAGGAGTGGTTGAATATAAATTAAAGAAAATATTATAATTTTTATTTATTTTTATTTTTATTTTTATTTAGAATACTGTGTTAAAGTAACGTGTGTTAAAGATTTTATACACTTTATATAATTTTATATATTTTCATGTATTTTATGTACTTTATTAAAAAAGAAAAAGAAAAAGAGAACTAAAATTTTACATAAAACTGTGTAATTTTTGACATATCATAAAAAAAATATATGCTTGATGGAATAGAAGTTCATAATATGCAAAACTGTATCCAAGTTTGTAGAAACTTTATTACTTTTACGTAATGTAATAATTATTAACTTATCTGCTATATCATGCCTCAATATCCTCATCCCAAAGATTAATGGAGGAAAGTACCACAGTTACTACGCCAAGAGATGAGTATTTTTATCAATAAAGTTAAGCCCTGGTGGCTCGATTTCATATTTTATAATGCATTTATTTTTACATGTACATATATTTCATGAATTAATTTCAATGTTTTGATATTTTGTGCAGAGCAAAGATTCTGGCTATAAACATACTTTTGAATATATTCATATACTGTATAAAATAATGGAAGATACACAATCCAGAATTGATTCATTAAATGCAAGAATTTCTAAACTTAAAGTTTCAGATAATAAACACTTAACCAGAATCAAAAAAACTGGAACATGATTTAAAGGTACTTAAAAAAGAATTGAAATTTAAGAAAAACCGCTAAATGTATTCAGAAATTCTTAATGAAGAACCAATAATTGAGTATCGTCCTTCTTTTTTGAATGAGTTAGAATTTGATGCCTTTTTCCAAAAAACATCGATTTCATTGTAAAGATATCAAAAAATTTGAATATATTGTTAACTAAAAAGTTATGTCGAGATAACGGGATTTTCCTTCTAGAAGTGTGATACGATGAAAAACCAGAAATTGTTATTTCTGAAAGGATAATCTGTAATCAAATAGTATATATATATACAACTTAATATATCATTTTCCTCGAAATGAGATAAATGATATTAATGTAATGTTTTTGGTGATGATGGTGATGCAGGATATTATTATGATTTAAGTAACGGGAAGAAAAATTGTAAAGATTCAATTCATTTAAAAATGTTTTGCATAATCTAATTATTAACAATTTTAACTTTAATATCTGATTCTTATTTCAATATATATTTTTGCATATTGAAAGTAAAGCAAACACATAAATTATTGCACAAGTTGTGATTGTTGGTTGAATTCGATATATGGTATAATTACGTTAGCATTGCTAAGAGAACCAGAAATAAAAAAATAACTCTTCAGGGACTATTTTATTAATGCTTGTTATCTAAAGAGGAATCTTATCTAGATTCAAAATATATATTGCAAGTCTAACACAAACCCCGTGAAAACTTGTGATGCAACCTGAACGGGTTCACCAGTGTTTGTCAAGATTAAAGGTATAGATATTAACTTCTGGTGGATTTACAATTGAGTCAATAGATATATCTTCCTAAATAAACATTATAATATTAACCAAAAAAATATAATTAATGAACAAATATCAATTATCATTAATTTGTTTACTTCTACTCCCGCTTTTATCCAACGTAACATTTTTTTGTGCACATACTGAGAGGAATCGCTTGGTGAACGGAATTCAACAATAAAATTTGGAGAAATTGGGAAAATTTTCGCCTTTATCTTCAACTGATAAAGTATCCCACCTGTAATAATGAAAAATATAAATTAACAATTGTGCAAAGTGTGAAAACTATCTTTATATTTAATAACATTCAGAAACCTGGTTTTAAGGACGACGGCGGCATCAGGACCTAGGACAGTAGGTTTATTGAGATTATTAGGGTTTTCCAGATTAGTCAATGTATAGGTTCCCTAAAATTAAAATAATTGCAGTGTTAACAACATAAAGAAGAAATATCATATTTGCATAACATACTTGCGAAGAAGTACAACCTCCAACCAAGTAGTTCTCGTTTGCACGTTTCCAGATGCCAACTTGCGTAATTATATCTAATCCCTTTTCGCCTAATAATAATAATTAAGCGAAATCCATTGATATTCCAACTCAATATAAATATAATACAAAAAGCGTAACATACTGAATTCACTGTGAACCGGAAATGGTGGCATTATTTAAAGTTGTCCCTCAATAAGATTCATTCTAAGAAAACGAGGATTTGCCGATGCAATTTTTTCAAACTCTGTAGCTCACAATCAAGAATAATAATATGTAAAATATCAAGAGACATAAATGTCTCAATTTCACTGTGGTATCCTTTCGTCTGAAATACACATGAATCATGTTATAAATTTTGCTTAATAGGTAGAATTTGGTATAAAAATGATATATGGTTGACCGTATCTTTATTTCTTAATTAATCGAAAAAAAACATACTGGTAATAATTCCTTTTGTTGATTTTTCTTGTTGATTTTTCGTTTGCTAATAGAAAAAATTTGTTAAACAATAAGACCATCAATTATATAAAGGGAAAATATAGGAATTCGTACTCAGAAGTTAGAAGCAAGAATAGTTGGTTCCACAGCCAAAAAGGTTCAAATTCAATACAAATTATGTAAACAATAAAAGCAATAAAAGACAAAAAGAAAAATGTAGGTTATAAAAATAAAGAATTTATGTAAAAATAAGGATTCTCTTAAGGTTCATATTTGGTTTTCACGATTACATTGAATTTCTGACATTATTATACAATCGATTTTTAATTATTTAAACTTTGATCCTTATTTCATACATAACATCAGTTAAACTCTATTAAACCATAATCATTATTTCATACATAACATCTGTTAAACTCTATAAAATATGATATGACAAAAACCTTAGATCAGGTAATAATATCAATATATCATCTTTAAAATTCCTAGAGTATATAACAAGTGACCTTTCCCACCCTCAAGAAATTTGAAGTTAAAAATCACATACCATTTGTTTCTGTTTCTGGACCATTAAAATTCTATTGATTCCACTAACATTAGAGTAGTGACCATCATAAAAAAAGGTTGACATCTTTAGCTACTTTGCATGTGAAAAAGTTTCTGAAAGAGCAATCAATTGATATATCATTTTTATACCCCTTTTAGTAATTGATAATTGATAAGCAGAAGTTATCAACATCATATTGCACATGTCAACACTGGTTGAAAACTTAAAAATTCTATACACATCAGATACCAGATAAGTCTAATATTCATCTCCAATATCAGATATATATCTGGTATTTGATAAGTATAAAAAATATATTTTATATATATTGGATACCTGGTAAGTGTAAAAAAAATATTTTTTACACCTATCAGATACCTGATATATGCCTGATATTAGATATGAATATTAAACTTATTTAGTATCCAATGTGTGTAGGATTTTTAAATTTTTGACCAATGCAATAAACTTAGTGAATCTAATTATCTAATTGAAACCAATTAATTCCAAGTGTTTTATTTACATATAGAACTTTAAAACAAATTCACAAAACAATCCTTTTTTATCTTGTATATGGTAGAGAAGCTCAACTACCAATTGATATTGAATTTCAAAATCAAAAATTAATTCCAATTGAAAATTTTGAAAAATCTTTAAGTAGAAGGATTAGTACTTTAAAAGGTCTATTTATTGATACTCAAGTTGTTAATTATAAAAATATTCAACATGTATAAGAAATTTGAAAAAATTAATAACAAAATTTAAAAAAAGCTCAGTTTTATTAAAGTAATATATAAAGGTGTGAAATCTGGTTAATCACATAAGTAGTGTACATCTTAAAAACTGAAGTTGAGTATAATATACTTAATGAGGCCATACTATACTTGCACACAAAATTATTTTGAAATCCCGAAATTATAATTTTAGAGAAAAAAGTCAAAATAGTTTTTCATAGAAGACAAAATTATTTTACTTAAAACCTGAAATTTTTTGACTATTCAGATTTATTCTTTGATTGAATATACATATAACTGAGTACTTTTTTTACTTCCATATATAAAATAGATTCTGCATAAATCTCAAAAAGTTGAAATATCTCAAAAATCCAAAATCAATTTTGAAAATATGTATAGAGTAATACGTAAAGGTGTGAAGTCCGATCAATCACATGAGTGGTGTACACCTTAAAAACTGAAGTTGAGTACGGTGTCACCGGTGGTTCTCAGTTTTCTCAAGAACCACCTAATAGTATAACTTGACGGTTCTTTTAAGGAGTTTATAGTCCTTTCCCAAAGGTAAGACTGTTGTTTCATCATTTTAGAAGGCACCACTGATTCAGTTATTTTAGAAAGGGAATCAGACCTTTCATTCATTTTATTTCAATATCTTTCCAAGTTCATTATTATCTCTAATATTAATATACATCCATTAATCATCTTTTAATTTCATCAACTTTAAATATTATTTCCAATTATCCAGTTTAATTATTATCTCAAGTC